AAAGCAATATATTAAATAGATTTATATGTCGATTATTTTTTCAATATTTTTTCAATTAAAATCACGAATATGATCAATGTGCAACATCTTTTTGAAGCTTCCTTTAATCACTCGAACGCGATTTCGAAGATTTATTTAAGCCACTGTGAACGTGTCAATTTTAGTTGGAACACTTGTGACAAAGACGGTCGCGCGATCGACTCGATAGCCAGCCCAGCCCTTTTTCGCGCTCCCTCGACTAACGTGAGCGCGTGTGTAATAGAGGGAATGAGACATCGAACTTGGCGACGACCCTTCGTCAGACTGCCTCAGTTTTTATTAAATACACAATAGAACTCACTCGTCAAGCTCCTCCTCATCCAGCAAAAGACTCATCCTTTCTGCTTCAGCGAGCGATGTGCGATGTACGGATCCGCTAGGGGTTGATTTCTCGCCTCTGCGGCAGGGGTGTAGTCCTCCCGATGATCTTCCGCAGCACTATAGCCGCGGAAACGCGCCACGACTCTGCTGGCGCGCTTTCTTCCCTCCCTCCTTCCCGACTATCCCTCCCCTCTCTCTTTCCATTTCGCTCTATCCCTTTACCCCCGCATCGCTCTGTCTTTTCCTCACTATCTCGAGATTTTCCCCTCCGTCGATATTCTGTCCCTCTTTAATTCGCGGATTCACTCTCTTTTCTCTCTCCTGCATCTGTCCCCTTCCACGCATGCGGTCTATCTCCGTGGTCTTTCTCCTTCCGCCTTGCTTTATCTTTCTCATGCTTATGCGCGATCTGTTTCTCTCTCTCTCTCTCTATCATCACCGCGAACTGTCCTTCTCGCGCTATTTCTCTCATTGTGTTTCCTTCTGTGCTTTTTTTCGCATATATATCTCTTTCTGTCAATCGCTATCCATCTTGCTCTTTGGCTCGCTCTGTTCTTCTCTCGCTCATAAATTAAAGGCCTGGTGGTGGCACACTCGTCCCCCTCGTACATGCGCACAATTCATGTATAATTCTGCCTTCCCTTCACCCCCTTCTTTTATTCCTTACCCGCAGCTGCTCGACGCACGCGATGAAGATCTCTGCGTGGCCTATTTCGCGAAAATCGATAAATCAACAATTAAATAAATACGTCAATAAAATCCTCAATCGACAATTTACATAATTTGAGAAAGAATGTTGAAGTATAATAACATTATTATAAATCCGCAAATTGTAATTAGTTTTTTGTTTATTTTTTAAATGCGATGACAGAACATTTCCCGTTAAATAAAAAGATGGACTAATTAACTTTGTATTAATCTTTATCCTGTTACATCTGTGCATAATGTTTCAATCTTTTACTTTTCATTTTTATATTAAATGTTATTGATAAGCAGTATTATGCATATTGTTTCAATTTTTTTGCAAGTAATGTAGATCAATGTAGAATCAGATGACAGATAATGTCACACATTAATAAAGAGAACGAAAAGTCAATTCTCAAATTTGTTATAAAAATTCTGTCAATGAAAATGCTTAGATTTTCGGAAATTCTATAGTAATCTTATTCCGTTAAGGAACAATGCAGTTGGATCGCACTAAGAAAATAGCTCATGAGATACTGATAGTGCAAGTATGCGGGATGGAGGGAGGGATTGCCATTGCTATTGAAGGATGAATTCTCTCGTCACGCTCGTCGATGCTACTGTCACAAACTGTGTGTGTTTATTTTTATCATTAATGTATATTATTTATTATAAATAAGTTAGAAACATTGATTTTTTGGGCTTGGTAGGTGTTTACAATTTTATACACAGAGAAAGAATACCCAACATATTTTATGCTCTCGGAAGGATGGTGTACGTGCCTCCTGACGAAAGAGAGATGATTTACAAATGAACCTAACAGCCCCTTGGAGATTCTTGCACGTTGTCACTCGCCGGTTTCACGATTAGGGTTGTACAAAGCCTATAGTGTCGCAATCGATCTTCTCTTATTTTTTTTTTTTCATCTCTCATTAAAATGTCCTCACACACGCACATTGAAAATCACTCCCTTGGCTTCCCTCTTCGTTTCGCCTCCTCTCTCTTTCTCGCCAATCCTTCTCTCTCTCTCTCTCTCTCTTTCTTTCTCTTTTCACACATGTACACGCGACGCGCATATGCCCAAACAATTGCACAAATACGCATAAATATGCACGAAGACGCACACATGAAAATGCACATACGCATACATACGTTCTCTCTTTTTCTCTCTCATTCATTTTTCTCACTAGCATCGTTTTACATTTCGTGTCCTGCACATGCGTTATCTCTCCCTCCCTCTCTGCCATTATCCGTTTAACCACGCTCTCACTGAAAACCAAGCAGTATTACTATTATTAATTATTATTTTATTACTATTATTATTATTTTTATCATTATAATTATTATTATAATAATTATCATAATTATTAATGTTATTATTCAATATTATTTGTTGTGGTATTCGCTTAATATATAATATATTATCTAATGTATTTATATATATACTTTTTTTTTCTTTCATATATAAACTCAGTGTTCCAACCAAGGTGGGTGTGACACAACCAAGGTATATGACACATGCTGCCCGGTGTATGTGCGGTGCTTGCACGGCGCCGGCGGAATCCGGTGACATTTGGGATGCTGTGCACATTCGTGTTGGAACGCAAAAATTCTTCCGGTTTCGGCCGATGCCGCGTAGAGAATGTCGTCTCTATTGGCGCGGCGTACTCTCCGGGTTCGCGCGCGGCTTCCATCATCGCGCATACCTAGCAATTACACCTAGGGATCGTTCTTGACTCCGATGAATAGTCTCACGACGCTTCGCGTTATCTTCCTTCCACTTTCACCGTTTCGTATAAGCGAAAAAGCTGGCAAGGTCCAGTCTCTTTTTCTCGTCGAAAAGTTTCTACGCGTGCCTTCCTTCTCGCGCGCTTGAAAGAGCCGTGCGTGATTTCAGAGTCGAACAACTTAGAAGAGAAGATTCCTTCATTCCTCTCCACCGATGACGTACACGTGTGTTCAAGAAGTTTTCTCACTTTCTTTCTTTGTTATCCCGTTTCTTTTATCGCGTCTATACTGATGGAGAAAGAATATAGAAAAGATTAACATCGGCCTTGTTTTTTTACTTTTTTCTTTGATTTTATGTTTCAAAATTATACTTTTCTCACTACTTTATTGCAGTAATTTGTAGAATTTTCTCCTAATTTTCTCATCGTTATAATTTATCATTAACTTTCTTTTCTCGCATTCATCCGCTTCAATACACGTTATCGGGGAAGAGGAAGAAAGATGATGCGAACAGTGACTTTCAAATAAATCGAAATGATCGAACCATCAGAGAGTACGAGCAACGGGCAGCGCGCTAGCCGGCATATGAGCGAGCGCAGGCAGTGAGCAGTTCATACGTACGTACACTGTATAATGTGGATACGGGGCGAGCGAGGGACATGAAGCTCCCCCTCTTCCAAGAGAGAGGAAACCTATGGCCCTGACTGCACGCGATGGCTGTGCCGCCGTGTAAAAGAATGAGGGCCAGACGAAGGGAGAACCGCGACGAATTCCTCCTTCACCATCGCTCCCAAGAAGTTCGCTCTCACGATGTTTATCCATAAAAGATTTTTCTCGTTCTTCGAAGAATTCGATTCCTTGCGAATTCAAGAGGCATTTTGTTCGCGAAAAACACCGGGACTTTTCATATGTTTCAGAAATTCATCATTGTAGATCGAAACTCTTCGTTCTCTAGGAGTTTGATCTTTGCTCGTTAGAATTTCTCTCATTCTTTAGGAATCTATTTCTCTACAAGTCAAAATTTTCCGTTCTCGAAAAATTAATTCATCTTCGCAAGTCGAGAAAAATCGTTCTGGAGGGATTCGCACGCAGTTTGAGGGTCAACTCCCCTCGTGCAACCTGGACGCACAGCCGGCAGAGAGAGGAGACGGCAGAGAGAGATATCTGCGGACTCCTCCCGCGCCCCTTAATTACCTAAGTCACATCGAACAGACGCAGTTTTCCGCAGTATCTTTCGCTTCCGCAAACACAAAATTTCCTTTTCATTTCATCACACATACATAATCTCTCTTTTTCGCATTCATTCTTACCTTCTTTCTCTTTCTCCTCTCTCTTTCTCTCCGTCACTGCCGCTGGTATCCATTCTTTCTTCTTTTCGCTTTCTCTCTTTCTCTTTATATATTATATATAACAATATTTATACGATGAATTTTTAATAGATTCGAGAGAGTCACATGCAGAAAGAACTTTGAGGCATTTCTGGCACGGATAAAAAAGAAAAAACAGAAACACTTTGGCTTTCGCAAAACTTTAAACGAAAGACGTTCTCATAATTTAGCATTTAGTAGATTTAAAAAAAAGGAAGAAAAGAAGGAAACAGAAAGGAAAGAAAAAAAACAACACCGTACTAGTAAATGGCACTAGAATTGCTCTCACTTGTGTCATCGAATCTAATTCGCGATTAAAAAGCCCGTTTCTTTCGTTCGCTCGCTCGCCTCGCCGTTTCGCCTCTTTAGTTTTCTTCACCTCCGTTGAGATCTCTTGGACTCGAGAGAAGAACACAGGCAGACGCGCCGTTAAAAATGCGCGCGGCACAGCCGCGCCGTATGCCACACTCACGCGCGTGAGACACGTTCGCCCTCGCATTCGTTCATTCATATATATATATATATATATATATATATATATATATATATATGTATGTATACTTATATATATATATATATATATATAAGTCAGACAACGATACAACGATCTCTTAGATCCAAGTGAGTTATAAAATACCGTCATTAAAGAGAAGGATCCGTGCTAAATTCCGCCTTACATTTCAAGCCACTGTAGCATCGCCGCGAAGAGATCATTTCGTTTTCCGATAAAGCGAAATTTATTCCGGATCGTTACGACTAATCGGAAACATTTCGCATCGGCTACATCATCGTCGATCGGAAATCGGGTTACGTAATTTTACATAATGTACCGCCGTGCACTTTCCCATACAATTCGTTTCCTTCTACTCGATAAGGAAAGACGCGCGTACATCTATATTTAATATTAGACGTTCAGCCAACTCTTCAGATAAAATAGCTGAGTCGTTTGATACACCAATCAGTTGCACGTGGAAAATCGACGAATAAAATCCTCGCGTATTTTTTCGCGATCATTGTTCGCATTTCTTCACTCTGTTAGAGTTCAAAGATAAAAGTCCTGCCGTATTAAGCGCGGGCAAGATCACAGAAACAACTCTAAGGCTCATTGTAGTCACGTCCTATCGCAATGTCTCTGCTATAGTTTTATCATTAAATACAAGTAGAGTCCGGATGTTGACTGGCGGACTTCCTCGTCTTCTTCGGCTCCTTCGTCGTTAGTTCTTGAGATGGTCTACGCTGGGTGCCTAACGTCACCAAAGCAGACGCGACGGCTAAACCGGCGCTCTGTCCAGCTGGCGTATAAGGCTCGCCACCAGTTGGCATTCTGACTAGCAGAGACAGGACCGCCGCTCTGTTGCCACAACAAGGCTCCAATGCGATCGGACTAGGAGGAACATCCTGTAATAGAAAAATAAATTTCATAAAGCAAAATGTTCTATTTTGTTATGCATGTGAAATATCTAAAAACAAAAAAAAGAATCACGTTTACCTTTATATTTTTACGACAATTGTTAAAGTCGGTATCACCGTGTTCCAAATCTGTGCCATCAATGTCACGTCTTTCAATCTCTACTACAACTGAACTGAAAGCTCTGCTGGCCATTTGTTCCATTTCTAGGAAGAGCCGTTGTCTTCGTCGATACATATCGTATTTCTGTTTGATCTTCCACAGAATGGCAGCCACCAATAGCAGAGCGAGAAAGCACCTGTGTGGTGGCATGTAATCTCTAGTTTACAAGTAAGTACTGCCTGAGGTTCAATAAGACGGAAAGAATATAGAAAATTTAGAAAAAAGAAAGCGTTAGGCCAATAGATGTATCATCTCTCAAGATCACTCTTCGCATTGTGTTTAAAGAGATTTAACATAACTTTAATTCATTTTATTTCAAACTGAAAACCACTTCAAAGTCCAACTTATGATACTCACGTGCAGAATGTAATGAAAAACTGTTGCAGATTCAATTTAGAGTACTGAGAGAATGAGATCTGAATCCACACTGGCGGTTGAAAGTCATAAACATATACGTAGAATGTGGTGAAGGTATTATTATCTTCGCTGCCAAAATTGTAATCTGCCTTGCTGAAACGGTGCTTATACATGGTCGTCGTGCAATTCGCGCCGAGCAGCAATGGCCTTTCCGGACTGTTTACTTTTTTGATGGTAATATTCATCTTAGCAAGTACGGAACACGTGATGGAGAATTCGGCATCGATATCGGCTTTCGGTGGTGAGTTTTTGAAATTAATGGCCCGATAGTGACGATCCTCCTTCTTGCTTAAGTTAAATGTAAACTGATAATCAATAGCCAAGTCATCTGAAACAAATACATGTACAATAAGATAATATATATATATATATATATATATATATATGTATGTATACTTATATATATATATATATATATATAAGTCAGACAACGATGCCCGGGGCCCCTGGTATCGACATATTCCCCGGCCCGAGGAGGGTAAAGGGGGAGCGCATTCGCGCGCGCAATATCGACTAAGAATTAATCTATAAAAGAAAGGTAACAAATCCCAAAATACGGGAACCGGTGTACGAGAGAACCGAATCGACTCACGCGAGTTGGTATCGACAGTGAAGATAGATTTTATTCTTTTTCCTCATATTCCCTTTCTTCTCTCTCGAAGAGAAAAGGAACGCTCGTGACGCTTTTAGATCCTTGTTCGCTCTCTTTTACATCGCTCCATCGCTTTTTACGTCTATCATAATTACGAGTCTTACGCGTGTCTAACTATTTGTTGGTACAAACAACACACTCTCGACAAAGCTCGACGCGACGCACGCTCGGTGTCTGCGTGTATACATGCGTGCACGATCGCACTACAAGTCTGTATCGTCTTTGTCTCGCGCATCTCCGTCGTTTCTCGAATCGCGAGTCAACGGAGTAGCAGTCTCACACTGATACATTGGTCAGGATGCGAGAGAAACTGTGGTCGTGTCTGCTCGGATTCGCAGCGCGTTTCGCCGTCTAAACCAGATTGTACTCCTTCAGATTGGACTGCAGGATGGTATCCTTGACCGCCGCGAACACAAATCTGATGTTCTCCGTATCTGTGGAATAGGACAATGCACGTGTTTAAAAATCTGAATATATTCGTAATTCATATTTCATTCATAGATGTTTTTATTCAAAGTTGCATAAAGCGTTATTTGTTGCACATGTTATGAATGATTCTCTCTTTTGCCAAATGAGACGCAATTTGTCATTGTACCTTGACTTGTTATGATATTTAAGCCTTTCGAGATATGATGGTCGTATCGACTTTTGATACGCATACGCACTATTAGATATTCTTGGAGAATTGACGATTAAAACTTCAGATATAATATGGTGCGGATGTGTATCATTTTTTTACAAGTATACATGCTACACAAAATTAGTTTTTCAATATTATGTCAATTATATATTGATCCTTAATAACTTCAACATTTCTCAAAAGGATTAACATAAAAGTAGCGCAAAACGGAAGTCAACACTTACCCTAAATAAGAAGCTTCAAATCCTGGACAGTCGTCACACACATGCAGCATGCAATTCCTTTTGAAATACTTTTTATAGCGATATGAGAAAGAAACCATAGACATACACAATGGTCTATACAAATAGTCTATAGTTTCTTTTTCGACGTTTATTTTAAAGAAGCTTAGCGAATTAAATCAAAGATTAATAATGCAAAAAAATTCGAAGAGATAATTGCGATATTGTAAGTACATATTTTGTTAAAACGTTAAAACAATTCGCACCGTTTAAGCGTGAAATATTTTTGTTTATACCATTAAATATTTGAAAGAGTATATATATTTAAAAAAAAACTATGTACTATTTCTTCTTATAAATCGCAGGAAAATTATTCAAAGTATCTGAATTGCGGTCGTTGCAAAAATATTGTATTATTTTTTTACAAGAATCAACGTTTATAAATGATTACATCTTTAGCCACAAATGATGGAATACTCTATTTTTGCCGGACTATAATAATATAACAAACGCAATAAAAATATCATCGAAAGAAGTCTTTGTTTGTGATAAAGGCATATTAAACAACGCAATGTTGCGAGAAATGGAGTAATTCTATAGTAATTATTAGAGCGAACATTAATTGCTATGTCCATTTTATTTAGGTTACAAGCTCCTGTTAATATATCCTTGCTTAACGTGGATTGTAACGTGTTGTCGTCAACGGTAAAGCTGGCAGTCATTTTTAAAGGTAAACGAGTCATTAAGTATTCGCATGGCATTTTAATGTTTAGACGAATCGCTGAGAGCGACACAGAGCTAAGCCACACAGATTAAGTTTTTTTGGGAGAGAGCAGCATACAGTAACATTTAAAACTCGCATTAACTCGTTCTTTGCATTAGTATCTGCCGCAATCGCTATACTATTTGATTACTTTTAGCACTCGCTGGTTGAGTTATCGTACTAAATCAATTTCGTCACAGATTCATGTGGCACAGATCTACATCACTATCGACGTTCAAATATCAAATGGCATCGTCAGAAGTCTACGCACACATTTGATAATATCTATACAGTTCGTGTGATCGCATTAAGCAAGATTAAACTCCTTAAGCGCGGTTTGCATGATCGTATCCTTAACAGCGCAGAACACAAGCTTGATGTTTTCCGTATCTGATGATTAATTATCCACAACCGCAGCATGCAAAATATAAATTGTAAGATCATTGAGACTGGTTAGCACCGCATTATGCCTTCGAAAAATCAACCTGATACTACAAGTTTTTTTATCGATATTTGTCAAGTTCTGTTAATATTTCGAAATATAAACAAAAATCCAGTAAACATATACCGATAAAAATATATATTTGTAAAAAAATGTATATATATACTCTGTACATATATAATTAATATACTTTTAAATTAAATAAATTTGAAATATTGGGATTGTATTGAGGACAATTCGCTTTATAATTTATCTCATTTCTCTATATTATTTTTCTCTTTTGTTTAGCGAATAATTATCTATCCTTATATATATATAATTAGAGTTATATTTTGCTAATTAGATTAGTTCACCCAGTTGATCCTTTTGTCCTCACGCAATCTCCTATATCTTAATAAGTATATACAGAACACGTATTCACCGAAAAAAAGATGTCTTTCATAGATACGTACGTAGGTTGATTTTTCCATGGTGCGCGTTTATAACATTTGATTACACACCTGATCATACGGGAGGCAGGCAACATACAAGCTCTGTACAAGACACAACACATCGAAGAACTGTTATAAAGCGAGAGAAGTATACGGTATTTTTGTACACGGGAGCTGCCAAGTGGCTAGCCTACCTGTGGCACACGTAAAGTGGGAATAAATAATCTTCTCACTGTCCGGGTTCAACTCAACAAACATCCTCAGAATGAATTCTCTAGCTGCTATGGCGTCTCTCTGCGGACCTGCGAAATATACAAGCGAGAGAGGGACATGGCGTTACTTCCGTTTGTTTACAAAACAGATATCAGCTTTTTTTAGCGGTTGCTTAACCGCGGAACGATTAATTGCTATGCATCGTTGAAAAGTCGCCAGGTGTAAATACTACGAGATGCGAGCTGGAATCTAGCCAAAGAAACTCCGTGTGTTATGATATTTCTAAGTATCTATTTTACAAGATGAATGAAAATCCGCATCGAAGGAAACATTGCCGCGCGTGAATCAACGATGCTCGGTTTCGTTCGTGTGCAAAGGATAACGCGCGAAAATGTAGACGAATATCGATCTATTTTAATGGAATAATGTTGTACTTTGCTCAAAATCCAATATACGCTCTCCAAGGACAGCTTATTGAATTAGTCATAGTGAACATCAAAGAAGCCTTTCGAAAGTCCCATTAATAAGCTAGAGGGCTTATATAAGGGTACCGAGCATAATTTCACAAATCTGAAACAGCTGCTCGTGCATATAACTTTGGGATAAAATTCGAAAATTTATCTTCGATCCATGATCGCGGATACATCCGTTAAAAATTTCGATGTAACAAAGTATTTTTGCTAAATATTCAGTAATTAATAATAATATAGAGTATTTTGTGTAAAATTATATAAATTACAGAGTGTAAGATTCGCGCGACGAGCGTCTTTCGATTATTACAAGATATTAACTAGCTTTTCAATCTACGTACGAGTTAATTCTATATCAATATATTATGTGCTACTGATTATCATAAATTACGCGCAGAGGGAAATGCGGACGTACGCTTGTTGTATGCACCGAAATAAGTAGCCTTTGAACAAATTACTGCTAATAAAGACTGATTACGCGGATTTTGATATATATCGAAGCGGCAAAGTTACAATAAAGCATATAAGAGTTACACGTAACGAATCACGTTCGATAAATCACTACTAAGGGATGGATCTACATCTTTTGCTCGGGACACACTCGGTAATCAAACAGACCTGTCGCACACGTAAAGTGAGAGTAGCACATTCGGTCGGGATCGGGATTACAATTGAGATACACCTTTAAGATGAACTCCCTGGCCGGTACGTCTTGCTGTTTCGGTCCTATACCACAGAACTTACTCATTTACTGATATCGAAATAAATAATCTCATCGCGCTTTACACAGTTGCGTCTTGAAGTAATTTTTAATTTAAATATCAATTTATTTATTTTTTAATTTTTATGAAAACAACTGCATTATTACAATTTAAACATATTGTTATTTATTTAATAAATGTTTGGTGTACTTATTGTGTTTCCATAATATTTATTTTTAAAATTAAAATAAAATCTAATTTGATTAATAACAACGAGAACAGATACCTATAGCATTTAATATTAAACTATAATGATAATATCTGCGCACCGATTCTAATAAAAGAGAAGATAAGGATGCTTTTTAATATCATAACTTACCATCATATTCCGGAAAGTAGTCGACGAGATGAGAATACATGATTTTTTCCTCTAGTAGATCTTTCTTGTTGAGAAACAGAATAACAGAAGAGTGTTGAAACCAGGGATATGTTATAATCGTTTTGAAGAGTGCTTTACTTTCCTCCATTCGATTCTGAAAGAAAACAGAGACCAAATAGATCACAAGAGCGTTCAAAATCGTCGATACATGTCTGAAAGTGTTCTAATTACCTCGTTTTCCGATTCAAATAGAATTTGATCATATTCACTTAGAGCTACTAAAAATATAATTGAAGTGACGTTTTCGAAACAATGGATCCACTTTCTTCTTTCCGACCTCTGTCCACCTACGTCTACCATCCTGCAAATAATATTCAATTGAACTGTATTGCTAATAGCGTGTAAAAGAAATGTATAGTCGATTTCGTATTCTTAATTTAAAATAATCTGTCGGTACATTAATAAAGTTTAAATATTCCAGAACGTAGATTCGTTACCTATAAGAATTTATATAAATATACAAAAAAATTGTATCTTGAAATACGCGTCATTTCGGAATATATAGAAATATATTCTTTTAATAATATATAAAAAAAATCTCTCATTATACACGTGCAATTTATAGGTACCATAGCATTCGTGCGAGGTCACGTGGAAAATATGAAATGTTAAGAGGCGATATAAGAAATTTAAGATTTAAGAATACCGAGATTCGATTGTAAAAGATCTTTCCGACTGCCAAAAAAATATAATCTATCGAATAGTTTCTACACGCTTGTCGACATTGATAAGAAACACGTAGGACGAATTGGATCATAGGACGAATAAAGTGGTCTTTAAATCTTCAGCAAAGGTATTCTAGCAGCGAATCATATGGAATGGACCGCTATTGTGAACTATTGTGGTATTCTTCATCTTTTATATTTCAGAATTTTTTATAACCTTCAATAAAGATGCAAACAAAGGGCAAAGAGAAGCTCACTTTGTGTCTGTTTTTATTGATCATTTGCGTGATTAAGAATTTCTAATCTAGTTAGAGAAAATTTCTGTTCAAGGATACATTGGACGTAAAGAAATGAAGTTATATATATTTGAATTTTATTTAATATCATAAAAAAGAATAACATAAAAAATTTTTTTAACTCTATAAAAAATAAATGTATATATATGTTTCTCTCGTGATCCAATTCATCCCGATTTACCTTTTGATAATCTATATAAATGTCTAAAAATTATTTTAATACATTCATAAAAAGACATGTTTATTATTGTCACACAATTATTATCTAATTATAAATAACATTAATAATCCGACACATGCAATAGTATTAGCACAATATCGAAAAAATATAAAACATAAAAAAACATGCAAACATCGGGAAGCTCCTTAAACATTATATTTAAGAGTACGTACAAATTTTATATGTACATATAACTAAATATATGTAGATTTTCTTTTCCATTTCCGTTTTTTAATTTTATAACAGCTAACTTTAAATATATCTCTTTAATTAACAGTTTTATTAATAACTAAATTACCATTCTATTAGTCTATTAAAATTAAATTATACAAATTTTATTATATATTTGTGCATTTCAAAGTTTAATTGTTTAAAATTTCTAAATTCTCAAGTTTCTGGATCTCTTGATTTAGAAACTAAAGCTATTACGAGATATTCCTATATATATATAAATGTACATTTTATATTTTTTTATTATATATGAATGTATTTTTGCGAGGCTGAAAAACTGGAGTATTTGAAGATGTATAATCAAATTGAATGGCTATTAGTACCTAAATATGATGGAGTCCAGATCAAACGGATATTCTATAATGCCGGTGGTGGGAGCTCGTGCCCGGAGGATGTCTTGCTCGGTCGGAAGGAAATCAGGCTTTTCGATACGGTCTAGATCACTAAGATAACTGTAAAACGAAATAAAAAGCTGCTGTCTGGAAGTGCATGCCATGCGTAGTGTACATAAAAAAAAAAAATATATATATATAAACAATTGTAAAACAGAATGGGGGAGGGGTAAAATAACGTATATAAAACAGTTCTCACACATGCTCGTCCATTGGCTCAGCCTGAAAGAGTCTTTTAACGCCCATATTGAGTCCTGAGGCTTACTTTGGTATATTTCACGACATATTTTTGTTTCCGTAATATATGCAATCTCTATTCGAAATCAGGTTTTTTTAAAATATAACAGCAATCCAACTGCGTTCATATTTAGAAGTTTCAGACAAATTAAAGCTAAATGTTACATGTATAGTGATTATATTCGCAAGTTTTAATTACTATTGATATTAGAGATACTAAAATAAAAAGAGATTATAGTTTGTTAAGCAGTATCTCAGATGAGCATGATAAAACAGGAAAAATCGGGAGATTTTTTATTTCCATCTATACGTGACACGATCAATCAATTGATAAAAATAAATAATGAATGCGATAGCGCGCTAGTTTATAACAATTTTGAAAATCTTATAAATCGCTTTGTTTAACGAAAGAAAGCCACAGGACTTAAACGGCGGGATGGGGTAATAGGCAATAACACTTAATCGGACAACGAATCCCAGGTGCAGCGCGAATAAATCACAGAAGACAAAGAATGCAGATATATATATATAAACAATTGTAAAACAGAATGGGGGAGGGGTAAAATAACGTATATAAAACAGTTCTCACACATGCTCGTCCATTGGCTCAGCCTGAAAGAGTCTTTTAACGCCCATATTGAGTCCTGAGGCTTACTTTGGTATATTTCACGACATATTTTTGTTTCCGTAATATATGCAATCTCTATTCGAAATCAGGTTTTTTTAAAATATAACAGCAATCCAACTGCGTTCATATTTAGAAGTTTCAGACAAATTAAAGCTAAATGTTACATGTATAGTGATTATATTCGCAAGTTTTAATTACTATTGATATTAGAGATACTAAAATAAAAAGAGATTATAGTTTGTTAAGCAGTATCTCAGATGAGCATGATAAAACAGGAAAAATCGGGAGATTTTTTATTTCCATCTATACGTGACACGATCAATCAATTGATAAAAATAAATAATGAATGCGATAGCGCGCTAGTTTATAACAATTTTGAAAATCTTATAAATCGCTTTGTTTAACGAAAGAAAGCCACAGGACTTAAACGGCGGGATGGGGTAATAGGCAATAACACTTAATCGGACAACGAATCCCAGGTGCAGCGCGAATAAATCACAGAAGACAAAGAATGCAGAAACGGCCCGATGCAGGTGGTTTTGCAGGCGCAGGCAGACAGCTCGCTTCTCCTTTCATCATCGTCGTCGGCCGACCGCGAGAGGCACACATACCTAAATCGGATCTCTTCCAAGTCAAAGGGATATTCAATTATACCGGTGGTGGGCACTCTCACACGAAGAATGTCCTGTTCTGTGGGGAGGTAGTTTGGTGCCGCGACTCGATCTATCTCCATTAGGTAACTGAAACATCGTGTTCTCAATACCCGGCGTACGGGAAGAAGATGGAGGATGGACGGGAGGAAGGAAGGCGGAAGCTATCGTGGGAGAATTAAATCGTATCCGGTGCGCGCGTTAATATCAGAGGAATTGCTCGAAAACGTAAACTCAAGAAGAACATGATCGGGTGAACGCGTGTTTACACGAAATTCAGAAAGGGCTTAATAAAAAGTGAGGGCTCTGAAAAATAAAATTTTATGGCAAGACTCTGAATCAATTTTCCTCTTGTTTTCTTTTATAAATGAGCACAGAAATATATTCCTAAAAGGACAAAAATAAGAGTTTCGCATCTCTTGTATTATATTCGCGATATTTAGGATGTTTCCTTCATGTGTATCTTTCATTATAACGTACTCTCAAGTTCACTTCTTCAGTTTCGCCAACTTTAGAATTATTAATTGAATTGTTAGCGACTATCGAATATCAATTAAGCAATTTAAAATGTAGACTATATTATTCGCGAATAATATTGTCCTTATTAAATTAACAAATCTAAATCAAATTTAAAAAAAAAATTGCAAATGCAATATTTTACTAATGCTGTATAATCTATCAATTGTCATATCTATAACATTAATTGTAACATTAATATATTCGTTGATATTTCTTTTTTTTTTTGTATGTTATCAGCCGCCTTAACGAATTACAGGATGATATCAGGTTTTCCACTCTTTCTTCCGATAAACTTTTGAACTAGTTTCGAAAGTCGATATTTTTATAACGCGATTCTGATCAAATACTATCAATCTTCTTTCACAACTTCCGGACATTATACTGTAAATTATCTGCTAATTAAATTGAACTTTAAATTAAACGAAGAATTGATCTTAGCCGTCCCCATTTGTGTAATTTAAATCTTTTGTGGGACCTTTGTTTATAACGAAAGAAATTAGATCAGTGCTTCGACGCAATGTGGTAAAAACCTGAGTCATCCTCTATCAGCGATTATATGGATTTTACGTGAAATACTCCAGGCCAATGTTAGAGGCGGGGAAAGAAACGTGAAATAATCACACTTCTCGGTTGGCGATAAGACACGTAGTAGACGAGGGAATGCGCGTCGCCCCCACGAAAAGGAGAGCGCAAGTGCAACCGAAATACTCACTACTTGGCTGAGTCCGTGAGCTGGTATTCCCGTCTGCGATCGTAACACTCCTGTATACCGGCGTCCGCCCACAGGTCCTTGATTGCCTCTACGTACGGGCTCTCGAACGTCGTCACCGTCTCGAAGTCCACGCTTCGCACGAGTTCCGCTTTTTCCTGAGGGCGAAAAATGGGAAAAAGCGCTGAGTGAGTGTCCGTGGTATACAGCTTCCAGTCCGACATATCGGAATACGATATTAAACATACAACAAAATTATCGTTAACTTTCTGATAACCGATACAGTATGGTTAATTAACTCTTAAAATGTGTAGCTTGACCTGTGGATAATGCAATCGTAAATTTAAAATATTTGGTAGCACGCAATATATTTCAGAAAACAGACTCAGAATCAACTAATACGAAATAAAATAAAAATTAATTAATTAATTAAATAAAGTTAAAAAATATATATAATGCTCTTGATAAGAGGGCTTCTATCTTTAAAGCCTTATAAGACTTTTATATATAAATTGTCTTATTTTATAATATTTAAGATACATCAAAGTGTTAATCCGACGTACATAGTGACATGACTACGAAGCAAAATTATAAACATTTACGCACTATGTTCGAGGAATCGCCGTACTGAATCTTCAGGAGGTCCATGGCCCGGATCATGGACTGCATCGCCATGAAAATGTTTTGGTACACAAGTTTGATGAACCCTCTCTTGTCCTCGTCCGAGTAGCCGGAGCCGTGGATGATCCTCATCTGCTTAATGAACGTGGACTTGCCCGACTCGCCGGTTCCTGCAACAAAGTTTCGGCTTTGATTAGCTTGCTGTCATAATAAATGGATGACAGTCTCTTTTAATCTGAGACTGTACGGAGTATATGTTTTAATATTTATTAAATAAATATAAATAACAAACAGAAACGTATTTATGACATATGTGATTATGACGGATTGCTCACACACACACACACACACACACACACACACACACATTTATTATATACACATCTCCATAATAATCAGCATGAAACGATTTTATAAATTAACGAGAAGCGTTTACCCGCTGGGTATTCACACGTGTAAAATTCAAGTTCGTCGTATTAAATCCACTGTGTGTAGTTCCATTCGCATAAATGTTGATCGAATATCGAAAAAAAATTTTCATGGTTTTCACATTGGCTTCCGCTAACTCAATATATTTGCGTACCATCTCGCGACTCGCGCGATACGGAGATCGCGCGAAGATTGTCCGCTCCTGGGGAATAGTGGGGCTGCTACGCTGGCTAGATGGTTGATGGGGGATGGTCGGCGAAGGGGTAAGGGGACACCCGGGTGTAGGTGGCGCTCGTCGCCGCCGTCGCGTTTCCTCGCGAAATCATGAATGAAACGCGTCCGTGCGGGTCGGCGCGACGCGTAGCGTCTTCTTAATCTTACGAATATTAACGACGGGCATAATAATGTTCTGCATTAGAAATGTTATTCAATATTTTCACATTTCTATTCATGAAAAAAATTATTATGTAAGAGACGTTATTGTACACAAGACAAATCACGAGAAATAGAGTACATTCAACATCTTTTTAATAAAAAATGGACCTTCTTAATAAATAAGATAAAGAGTTTCTTAAATAAAAAATGATACTAATATGTTGGATATTTTTATTAGGTAATAAAATAATCGAACGAGTAATTCTTTAATTGCTTTAGTCATATGTAATAACATAAAGTACTCATTTTTAACTTAGTGATAAATAAATTTAAAATTCCTCAACAATTCCTGTTACCCAGACTTGAAACTGTAGTTCAGAGAGAAATATATGTGTTTAATCTTTTCTGAATCATAAAATATACATGTGAGCTTTGGAACAAAATAATACTGCGAGAAAAGGAAAATAGACGGTTAACCAAAATTTAGATTTTTATCCACATAAAAAAAGAATTATATTTAAAGATTGTGAATGAGTTTCTTTAAAGTTGAAAGGTTTGTTAAAAAAGAACGAGCTCATCAATAATTCGAGGAATCTACTTTAAATACAACGAAATCATGCTTGAAGTGGACCTCACAAAATTATAAATTCAGTTCATCCTGTAAATTAATTCTTCAATCTCCATTCTTCGTCCATCCTTTTAACTTGAATTCTGGATTTAATTATCAACGCACACTTTTACTGTAATATATTTACAAGTTTCAATCGATAGCTTTCCTCGAAATTTTTTCTAACGTCGTCAAAGTAGATCTTTCATTAATATTAAACGATCGCGGGAGGATTACGGACTTCCAGGTATTAATATTTCAAGGAATCGCTCTCGATTCCATTTAGATAAGGGAAGGGGGGGGGGAGTGTTTGTTACTTTCTAGCTGTGTAATAACGCGTGCAAAGCCCGCGTAACCTGAATCGATCCTCACGCGGGGGACACACTGGGTGCAGAGAGGAAAGAGCTTTTATGCGCGTCGCCAAGAAAAGACGCTTCGTGCGCCCACAAGCACGCCTTTCTCCGCCTTAATGAGGATGCAAAAAGGCCACCGGGCATACGGAGGTACGCCTTTATCGATAAAAAAGACGGGCGTGTGTCATCAATCGAAAAAAATGCACGGGACACCCTTCGATTGAGAGTGGCTTTGCGCCACGATCCACGATAGAAGAAAAAAAAAAAACAACTCTGCGTAAAAATAATAGGAATTCGTAAAATGGTCAGTTGAAATTCACGGAATTCCCCTTTTGTTTATTATTTTTCCGAACATTAGATGAATCCAAAATAATCTTATAGAATTTAAGATATATTATTTCAGAAATTAAATTTTATGGGATGTTATGTTTGAATATATTAAGTGGAAATTATATAATGGCGTGAAATAATTAGAGAATTCTTACTTTGAATGATTTCGTATTGTTTTTTTACCGAATAAAAAATACACGAGAATAAACACCCCCTAATATATTTTTCATAAACCATTTTCCCGTCTATATTCAGTTCGATATTAGATGTGATAGATTATATTTAGATTTCGGTTCTCTCTCTAAATATCTATGAGAGAATGTCAATTTTGTTATAACGTTTTAAAGAGAGATCTATTTGGACGTGTTCGTGAATTTCGTTGAAAACGGCTCGCTTAAATCCCCGTCAGTTATTATACGCTGACGAGACTCGCACGTGCAACAACAGTGCGATTATACGATACGGGAACATTACGTTTGTCGTGCTTGTTTGCTTAGATGCTTAAGACTCTCTTTGAAGTCTGTATCTTCGCCAAGTTACGGCTCTATCACCGATCAATGTCAACGATGATTACATCGTGATGACTGCATCGCGCGCTAATCTTTCTCGCGAGCCTTGTATTCAATGTATGCCATATTATTCGCAATATAGTTAATTATGATGCATAATTAACTAAATTCCTGCATAATTAGCTAAATTCCTAAGTATTTTCCAGAAAAATGATCAAAAAATACGTTAGGTTGTTTTTTATGTATTATACTCAATTGTCTATTTTTTTAATAATAATTAAAATCAAATATATTTTTGCGAAAATGTCTCTCTATGTTTATACATTTATATTTTTTATTCCATTTTTACATCGTGTAATAAAAATATGATATCTAGATATATCGGGGAAATGATTAATTTTTTAAACGATTTTCTTTAAAACAATCTCTCAATTCGAAAGATACAATATCAAAATAAATATTAGCTTCTTGAAATAATTAATCTTATTGTGACAACGTTTTCTTTGTATAGAATATTGGTGTTTCGATATTTTTGTTAAAAAAGAAACTAATTCTGTTTTTTGAAATTCATTGTTAGATTTCGAGATCGCTCTATATACATGTATTCTATTTTAATTTCAAACGATGTTCGTGGCGCGAATACTAACGGTTTAATATTAGTTTGTGGCAACATTTTCTAATTGTATCGAGACATGGGTGTTGGCAGCGATTTCGTGAAATCGCGCAATTTAAATCGATTCTTGGACGCAAAAAGGAAAAGCTAGGAGGAGCGGGTTAATGAATGACACGCACAATCCAGACTCTCTTCCGGTATTCCTTCAATGATGTAACTAGAGCTAGAAATCTCGTTCAACTGATTGTGAGAAAGAGAGAGAAGGGGTGGAGGAAAACTCAACCCCCTACGGAATTACCTCCCCGCCGCGAAAGAGTACGCTGATTCCGTTTATCAAAATTCCGATTAGATGATTATAATTTCGCTTTTTTGACTTTCGTATTTTCAAGAATCGCGATTCGATTAAAACCGTAATATACAAACCAATATTAATTTTCTAATCAATGTTTTGAGATGATAAAGTTTCCTTTTCATATAAATCTAATCCTATCTATATATAGATAAATTCCTTTTACATATCAATGATAAAATTTACATGTACTTCATTATTTTATACATAAACACGATATCAATAATTCATACCCAGGGTCATGGATTTGTGCTGTTTTGCATTTTACGGTTTCAATCAACGCGATAAATCTTTTAAGATTCGTATAAAACCATACTATACCAAACCAATATCCTTGCAATCTTTGATATCATAAAATTTAAATTTATAATTTTGCAAGGTTTTTTCAACGATATCTTTAGAGAATGACATAAAAAGGAACGAATAATGTTCACCAATTTTTTTAGATAGATGATATGAATTGTAAATTACGCCATGTATTCCAAAAATGTACAAGTGCGAAGATCAGACGGATATGGCATTTAAGTCCGGTGATTAATTTAAGAAATATATCTCTTTTCATCTTTCTTATCTTCATTACCTTGTTTTCCTTCTTAAAACAGGTTGCTAGGAATGATCGCAGTATACCAAAGTATCCATTCTCCTTGCTCGAGTAGTACCGTATTCGAGAGATGATATCTTGTATAATTATCACCAAGGACATAACCGATCGGAAATACGCGTAGAAGAGAGAAAATGACTTAACCGGAATTAATCCTACAACGATACAACTTCTTTTTTTAGTTTCTTTCAAAATAATTGTAATAAAATTCGAAAGCTATGCAAAACTGTACCACCTAAAAAAATAACTTTTATAGTTGTGTGGAATATATTATATTGCAGTAGCGGGAGTTAAATCTGAAAAGTATTTATGTAAATCTATACAAAACAGTTTCGGATTTCTCTCTCAGGTATATTTAGTAGACATTCGAATATTCAAATATCTGTGATTCTCGATTTTAAGATTTAATTATTCAGATAAAAATTTTGATAAAATTCATATAAAATTAAATTAGGTAATATATATACAATATATATTGCATAATTTATACACATTTATACAATTATGTCACGTTACTGCATGTTGCGCCATATCGTCGGATTTATTACATCGTTGCAAACAGACATCTTTTTTTATACATAATTTTATAATTTTTGAATAAAACGCAGTGTTATAAAAAATTTTGTTTTTCATTATATTCTGTAATACTTTAAGTGTTTGTATAATCTTAATCTCTTGCTCGTAAACTTCAAATTTATTCAAATAATGTAAGTAATACGATTATATTTGATTATGTTAACCCTATAGTTAAGTTGTTCTTTCGGCGGATTCCACGACGCCCTCCTCGCGTAAGGACGAGGCATTGCTCCACCCTGTAAAGAGGCACGACGACAATCGACACCCTTCTTCTTCGACGTACACGGACGAAGGGAAAAGCCCGAATCGACGGACGTGTACGCGCCAAGCGCGGAAGCTTTCCGGGGCGGTGGAAGCTCCACCGTCGCCGGGGGTGGGTCGATAGATGCCAACGTGGAGAGATAGGGTGAGAGGAAGAGAGAAGGGAA